GGGAATTTTTGATGAGATCAACGATCTTGAATGTAGTAACGAAGAGAGAATTTGTGATGAAAAGGATGAACATAAGACGTTCGTTTATTGTCAAAAATCTGTCGATGCGGGTGATACTGATGAAATGAAGGTTGAACATTGTTGTCAAAATGAACCAGTAGTAGTGATGGAAGCATCGTTGGACGAGGTTATGAAAGTGGATGCGATGATGATGAATTTACTAAAGTCGTTAACAAATGATGATGTAAAACTTAATGACATACCTGAAGCGAATGGTGAAATAAATTTGATTGAAGACGTTGGTGAAACGTCCAATGACGAAGATGGATTGAAGGACGATCTTGAAATGAAAATGGAGATTGATAACGATGTTGTGGATGATGAAATAATGACAAGAAGAGGATTGAATTATACTAAGTTGATCGGAGACGATCATGAAGCTAAATCCGGGGGAAATCGACTCAAAATGCGAAAATCTTGTTATGATTGGAATCCGAAACGAATACTGAATGTATTGGATCAAGTTAGAAAAAGGGGATTCTATGATCGTATATACTTGGACCATATGATCGGCTGCGATGGTGTGGAGCATGCGATATTTGGAAATCAAATCGACATGCGTTTGGGCTTAAAACATTAGTAAAAAAAAAAAAAAAAACTTTTATTATTAGTGTTTGTTTTCTTTTAATATATGTAATAATTTGTTTAGTATAACTTATGCATTAGTGTTGGGTTGTAGGAAATTATTAGGTGAACTTCGGGACGAAGTTCATTGGGGATCTAGCTCCTGTCGTGGTGATGACCAACACCCCTTGTGTTGATAGTGCTAGGGTTAGGTACGATCACGGGTTACCCGATTGGGACTGGGTAACGTCAATGGCGTGATCGTTGATGCATGAATTTAATTTATAGTCTATTTGTAAGTATTGCATAATGTGTGTAACCCGGGTAATCAAGTACCCGGATTGATAATCTAATAAAAAGAGTATCGATTCCTTTGGAATCGAAGACGATTGTTTGCTTAGTGAATACACGTTCTAGTATATACACAGTAGTATAGGTGGTAGTGCCTGGTACGATACGCCAGTGCGCAAAGCGAGTGCTCTGACTAAGTGAATCGAGCCCAAAACCCCTATTAGTGAAAACGGATACGACAGCTACTAAGATCTACCTCAAAGATAGTGCGTCGCGGTAAACTTTTGGGCCACACAAGGGCACCAATTTGGTTTGTATTAAATAACTGTGTATGGGACGATGATTTTTCACGTAAAAGCACTCATTAATTCTTTATTTTGCTTGCAATTTTATACATACTCTTTCGCTACCACAAATTATATCATATTTTGCTCATACATATTTTAACTTCTAATTGAGTACTAATCGCTATTATTCCATGTATTGTTCTTGCAATATTAAACTCTATTATATTACGACATATTTCATGCATTACTAATATTCTATAACTGACTTTACTATTAATATTCATATTATTCATTTATCATTCCCGAAATTATACTCGTGATCTGTTCCCGATCGAATATCACATGGGTCACATGGACCACATGACGATTCGATCGATCTAATTTAAGCGTTTGAAAAGAAAAAGTTTTTTTTTTTTTTTTTGTATTCTTTATTTTACCTTGTGATCTTAATAAACTATGAATTACATTAGCTCTATTCCTTTTACAAAGTATACCAAGTGTTCTGCTTCTCCATCACATCAGTGAGCAACCGGGTGAGTCTCCACTTGTAATTTAGGTACTATAGAGTATAACTCTGTAGAAAATTTTAATAGTTTAGATAATTATCACAAAGCCTAATAAAGTGAAGGCAAGACTGCTGAATTTGTTAAAAAAAAAAAAAAAAACATCAGTGTTTGAATTTGGACCAATTAAAATAATATGGACAAAATATAGACATAATCATTTTTCAATTGGATATATACATTTGGACTATGTCCAAATTTTTCAAAAATATGGACATAGTCCAAATGAAAATACTATTTATAATTATTATTGTACTTTTTAAGTCTTTTAAAATTTTTTAATAATAACAAATACCTTTATACAATTATAACACAAATAGTTATTATATATAAAAGTCAAAATTTTTACTAAGCAAATTGATTTTTAAATTTTTTTTTTTTTGACATTCATGTGCAACTTTATTTTATAATATAGAATTTACATTTAAAATAAATGTGGTATCTATTTATAGCTATGCTATTTTAAACTAACGTGTGGTGATCATAATTTTTAATGCATTTTTGATACATATTAATTAAGTCTTGATTTTTTGGAATTTTTAATTGAATTTTTAGTCTAATCGATGAATTCTTGATTGTATCTAACTTTTTTAATATTAGCACCTACTTGTGTAATATATTTACTATAAAAGCTAATTTGATATCCAGGACCATTTTATATTTGTCAATTTTTATTGGTTGACAAGAACAATCTTTTTCATAAACTTTCGCACAAATTAAACATACTAAACATATTGGGCAAATGTTCAAATGAAATTTTAATAATGTTGACATTATAATAATAAATTTATTTGTAGAACAGGTATTATATTTATTTATATACCAATCATACCGAAAAAATTACTGTCCAAAAAATTTTTCGGCCAAGAATAATGAAAACGGCTATAAACGGTCGAGGATCTTCAAATTTTTGGCTCGCATTACATAATTGTTTACTAATTTCCGGCCTGAATTAACTTTTTAATTTTTTCATTACAGAAATAGAAATTTTTAATAAGCCCGCATTATGGTAAAATTTGTCCAGAAACAATTTTCACTTAATAGGCAGCTGCGATTTCATTAGTAAAATTATGAGTAATTCCACAGAAGCTGCGCCAAAATATTTTCTAAACTTTGAGTGAAGGTATCTCAGCAACTTTCAGATCAAATTCAATGAACTTTTTTATTTGAATTATATGGATGCATAGAATCCAAAAAAAAAAAAATTCATTTACCCAAAAGTATAGAAAAAAATTTGGTACATTGATAGACGTTTTGAATTTTTTAAAACTTTGAACGAAGATACTGTAACTCAGCAACTACCAAGTCAAATTTGATGAATCATTTTTTATTTATATTCTAAGAATTTACAGAATTTAAATAAAAAAAGTTCATCGAATTTGACTTGGTGATTGCTAAGATATCTTCTCAAATTTTGGTGCAATTTGTTTTGATAGGTGTTTTAAATTTTCTTTAAATCTTTGATCGAATATATCTCAGCAACCACAAAGTCAATTTTGATGAACCTTTTTTTATTTCAATTCTATGGATCTATAGAATTCAAATAAAAAAAAATTCGTCGAATCTGGCCTAGTGGTTGATGAGATACTTCTCTCAAAGTTTAAAGAATTTTAGTACAATTTGGTTTGATAGATGTTTTGTTTTTTTAAAAACTTTGAGGGAAGATATTTTAGCAACCACCAAGTTAAATACAATGAACTTTTTTTTTTGATTCAATTATATGAATCTATAGATTTTTTTTTAAAAAAGAAGTTCATCAAATTTGGCCTAGTGGTTGCTGAGATACCTTCGCTCAAAGTTTAAAAAAAATTTAATCTGCAGGGGGTGTGGATAATAAATTCGGGGTATAAAAAATAATCCCCTTCTTATATCAAGCTAAAAACCTTGCACAATTAATTTACAATTCTAGCGAGAACCTAGTAAGAAAATAAACTTGCAATTAAATACAAAAATTTTCTTTAGCGACCTATGATGTTAACAATTTATGTTAAATTCTATAATATTTCACTACAATCGTTATTGTTTTTTTTAATGTCTACTGAAGCAATTCATACACAAGGATTAGAACTACAAATGTGCGAATGCAAGTTTTTTGGCTTTGCATCACATGTCACATTGGGGTATTTGGTCATCTATGTTTGACAAAACTATATGCGGTACTATATAAAAATTAATTATTGAAGATTTTTTTTTGAATTTAGTGATAGGATAGTGATCAGGATAGTGGTCGGGATTATT